GGGGGGGGGGGGGGGTTCGGGAGATGATTTATGTGTGGGTTGATTTGGATTGGAGAATTGGATTAATTAAGAAGTTTTGGTCTTGATCAATTATGGCCTCTTCTCAAGAGACGTGGATAAATTTGTGGCCGTTGGTTTATGTGATGGGTTATTAATTGATTTTTAGCGTTGGATTGAGGCTACACCTTAGAACCAAACATCCACGTCGATGTTGAATTGTGACAAAAGGAGACAAAGGCCTAAGATGTCTCTCTAGGACGGCTCCATCGGCTGAATTGAGAGAAAGTTCAAGCCTAGCCTTGAAATCATTTTATGCCATTCTCTATATATTTTTAATTAAAAGTTACCAAAAAGGAAATTCACTCAAAAGTCAAGACTCCTAGTCCTTTATAAGAAAAAAAGAGAGGATATATTAATTTGAATAATAGTATTATTTGTTTTTATCTCTTTTTTTTTATTACATTAGCATATTTTATCTCTTTTTCTTTTATACAAAATGTTTAATACAGAATAAACTAATATATATATATATATACATAATATATATATATATATATATATTATGTATGTTAGTTTATATCATTTTTCTTGTACGAGTTTATATTTTTAATGCCACATATATGTGTGCTTGAGTATTGTCTTTGCAATTTTTTTTATCAATAAAAAATTATAATAATAACAATAAAGTTTAAAATTGTATATATTACCTCAATTTTCTACCACTAATAAATTTTTATGTAAAAATATATCTCTTTTGGACCCTGTTGCATATTACTTCAATCTCCCGTATTAATTAATTTTATGTAAAAATATGTCTCTTTTATGTTAATTAATATTTATTAAATTAGTAGTTAGTTAATTTTATTAAATATTTTTAATTCAGTAGATAATAGCTTAATAACTTATTTGGTTTCGATTTTGAACTTTTAATATAAAACACAACTTTTCCGTTAATTAATACTAGTATTTATCAAGTAGCAGTTAATTAATTAGTTAATTATATTAAATATTTTTAATTCAATAAGATAATTTATTAGATATCGATTTTCAACTCTAAACTTTTCAAACCTTTAATAACTTTGGAAGTCTGTGTGTAGTTTTCAGCTAACTTTTCATTAATTATACAAAAAGGAGCGTAGCAAGAAAGTGAAAACTGGCTATTCACCCTAGCTAGAACTAAATTTTTCTTCAGATGACCCTTCGGAATCTTCTAGATAAAGTAGTTTGACGTGAGGTTGGGTTATTATTGTTTATGTATTTTTTTTATTGGCAAAAAAAGTACATATTAAAATGGTACAAAGAATACCAAAATTCATTTACAAATGATCAAAGTAGTTTTCCTACTTAACTCCTAGTGAGTTATAATTTGAATTTGTTAAAATACTATAAACTAACCAAAATTCCCCACCTTTTTAGCACTAAACATTAGCTTATTCACACTACTATTTTCGTGCCTTATACAATATGTGCCCTCTACAATACAATATTTGCATTACATTTTTACCTCTCTAAATGACCTACGAAAACTTTTGTCCAACGAGTTATAATTTCCCATGCATTCCCATCCAAAAATTGCAGCCATTATTAATATGAAAAAGAAACTTTAGTGACACTTTGACTCTTCCTCGCAACCATTGGACCCAATCTTCTATTCAATTTCCTGCATCTTATAATATCCATCCAATAACACCTGAAAATCACAAGTACAACAAAGTGCTCTTCACCACATTCTGTTTGCTCCTCTCACCAATATAATTACCATATGTAATTATTCTACATATCCAAAGGGCTGAAAACTTGTGCAATAAAGTGGATGAGAATTGCTGCAAAATTCTTGAAGTTGCTCCCATTTACATGTTGCAATAGTTGCTACCAACATAAAAAGGGTTGATGCAGAATCTTGTATTTAATTACTTGTCATTTGGTAGGTGTAGAGTGTGATCAATCTGCTTTAGCAGAAAATATTGTGTACATCTTCTTCCCCCGTTCAAGTCCCCACCAACACTTGTTGCCTTCCGGCCAATAACCACCTTAAATCATAACCCATCATTTTCGACCCAAACCAACATTTCCATCCACCCCACTCTCCCAATACTCCACCCGTATCAAAGAAAAATGACATAACAGAGCAGGTCTTTGTTTGTGGCTAGCTACAACTTATTTAGTCATACCTTTCTGTCCAATGTACAACCATGAACTCCTATATTTCAGTTCCTATTACTGGAATTCCAAGCCTGTCAACATACGATATTGAATTCTCCATTTCTCCCCCTTTGACCATCAACCCTACTATATGTCCCACTGATTATACCTGCTATTTGAGTAGGCACAGTCCCGGGTTTAGGGACCATTGACAAAAGGAATAGTTGCATTCACTTTGCAATAAATTAACCATAGCCAGGATATTTGTAGAATATCCTTCATTAGCATTTAGATCCACCCACAAAACCATGCACTAATAGGTGGACTTAATGATTCTCCAAAGTAGGGTGTTAACCTTAGAAATTTCCTACCCTAGGTTTACCGTAATAAGTCACATTGTACTACTCTTTATCCCTCTTCTTATATATATTCATACTAACAAAAAAAAATGTTAATACATTCATGCATCATACATTTATATCCAATATCATTTTTTTGTTAGGTTGCTTTTCTTGCCTAAAATAAATTTTTTCTTAATAAAGGATAAATGATAACAAGTCATGCAATTACTGGAATTCCAAGCCTGTCAACATACGATATTGAATTCTCCATTTCTCCCCCTTTGACCATCAACCCTACTATATGTCCCACTGATTATACCTGCTATTTGAGTAGGCACAGTCCCGGGTTTAGGGACCATTGACAAAAGGAATAGTTGCATTCACTTTGCAATAAATTAACCATAGCCAGGATATTTGTAGAATATCCTTCATTAGCATTTCTCTGTTAAACCTTCATCCACACTCATTCCTATATCTCCAAATACTCCACACAGTTGTTGTCCAAATAACCTACCAATTTTCCCCACCTATTGTTGATCCTAGGCCAACCAGAATCAAGCTAAAGTGCTGCTTTGGCTCTTGTGGTAAAGTTGTGGGACTATTTAACCACAATAGCCACTGATTTGACACCTCCCACGCCTTGATGCAGGTACAAAATAAATGAGGCATTGATTCTAGTTCTAAATTACAAAAGTGACACATTCTTTGTTGGTTATCCAACCTTACATTTCTATGCAACAAATTGTCAATTGTTGGTAGTCCATAATGGAACATTCTCCACGTGAAAATCTTTGCCTTTGGAGGGGCATTAATTTTTCATATCTGTTTAAATTTATTTTCTACCCATCTATCTCTCCTATCCTCTTGGATTTCTTTGTAAGCTGACCTTATTGTAGAGATCCCAGACTGTTCAGGTAGCCAAATCCAAGCATCCTGAGCATGTTGCCTAAGGACAATAGTTGAACATTCTTGTTGCATCTTTTCTAATGGGTTATTCAAACCACCTTCTACGCCACTTGAACTCCCAAACCCACACCCCCTCATATAATTTTCCCATATTACAAATCCTCTCCTGTAGTTCAGAATTTTGAAATAACCTAGGATATGCAATTGCTAGGCATTCATCTCCTAACCATCTATCCAACTAGAATCTAGTTTGATTCCCATCACTTGGTCTCCATTGTATTAATCTATGAAACCAATTTCCTTAGTTGTTCCCACCACATGTTTTAAGTAGGTCTCTCCACCATATGGAGTCCTTTCTATCAGTATTATATGGACAAAAACTATTCCTCCAGTCATATTTTGAAGACAACAACTTCTCTCATAATATGTCCTGTTGGTGGAACAAATTTCACCTCCATTTTGCCAGTAGTGAATCAAGTCAACAATGTTTTTTATGCCCAACCCCTAACACTCCAATTA